GGGGGGGGGTTGGGGGGGGGGGGGGAAGGGGGGTCCTGACCCCCCCCCCCCCCCCTTCAATTTCTGAAAAAAAAATCACACCAATGGTCCCTTCTTGAAATTGGAATTTTGCCTAGCTAAATCATAATTCTAAACTGTACCAAATGGCACGTACTGTTTGCCCTCTAAAACACCAACATTTTTGGGGCCCTTCAGCAGTCCCTGAACTCTATGCCAAGGCGGTCGGCTTCGGATCCCTGGATCCTCCCTTCAAATAATCCTAGACCTGCCCCTGGTTCATGACCAGTTAATCTCTGGCCACATTCACAACCAACAGATCCACAGATAAATATGGCCAATCAACCCACTTGAAAGCTTGCTGCAAGCCCTATATACTTTAAGTAAGTCAGACTATATACAGTGACAGATTTAGACAGGGGTCAGGGGGGTCCTGACCCCCCTTCGATTTCTGGTCTCCTCTTGAAATTAGAATTTTGACTAGCTGAATCATAGGGATGGCGGCTTTGCATCTGCGGACCCCCCCCCCTTTCAAATAATCCTGGATCTGCCCCTGATATATACTTACATTAATTGATACTCCATGGGTTTTTGGAGTCCAGGTCCTTCCACAATAAACATGCACCTGGTGAGGGGAATCGGTAGTGGATTGGTAAAGCCTACCTTCAGCTTGAAGGGTGTCAGAGTCTTTATTTCATTCTTTTTCTACAATAAAAAGTGTATTTTTTTTATATAAACTCACCCATAATGCATTATAATCACCACATAAAAGCTGGAGTTTATAAAGGTAATTATAATGGCCAACATATATACAGTATATTATTAAGATTTTTGTAACAGTTAATATAAATCTTTCTTAAAATAATGAATATAAAACCATTGCTCAAGATTAAAGATATTTTTGATTGCTCAAGATTAAAGGTATTTTTGACAAGCGAAAATACAACAACATGTAAACATTCGCTTGGAATAAATCAGAGAGACAAACTGGTCAACAAAATTCATATTAACTTAAAATATTTAATTTGTGTCCTTATAATAAAAACAAATCTAAATAAAACTGCTAGTTTCATATTTACTTGATTTAAATGAATGTGTGAATATCATTATATTCTAAAACAAGGCAGCAAAGCTGACAAATGTACAGACAAAGAACAGAAAATAAAGATGCAAATAAGTGAAAAATTAAATTTTCACAAAAAACTGTTAAATTGCCAGAAAAATTTACCAAACAGACTGCGTTGCCTATTGAAGCTGTATGTTAGACCCATGTTTCTTTCCTGTAAGTTTGAGAACAGTAAGTGACATGATTTCCCTTAAATGGTCATCATAGGAGCAGTGCCCAAAATAGGGGTTTCTTCAAATTTTGATGCAACATTATCATAATGTTTAACAGCATAATGACAATCAAATTGTATTAATAAAATATTAGTAACATGGNCGGAATCAAGGGGGGGGGGGTTTTCGCCTTGGGGCCCCCCCCCCCCCCCCCCCCCTTCAAATAATCCTGGATCTGCCCCTGATATACTTACATTAATTGATACTCCATGGGTTTTTGGAGTCCAGGTCCTTCCACAATAAACATGCACCTGGTGAGGGGGATCGGTAGTGGATTGGTAAAGCCTACCTTCAGCTTGAAGGGGGTCAGAGTCTTTATTTCATTCTTTTTCTACAATAAAAAGTGTATTTTTTATATATAAACTCACCCATAATGCATTATAATCACCACATAAAAGCTCGAGTTTATAAAGGTAATTACATATACAGTATATATACATATATACATGTATATATACAGTATATTATTAAGATTTTTGTAACAGTTAATATAAATCTTTCTTAAAATAATGAATATAAAACCATTGCTCAAGATTAAAGATATTTTTGATTGCTCAAGATTAGAGGTATTTTTGACAAGCGAAAATACAACTGCATGTAAACATTCATTTGGAATAACTCAGAGAGACAAACTGGTCTTCAAAATTCATATTAACTTAAATTATTTAATTTGTGTCCTTATGATAAAAAACCAATCTAAATAAAACTGCTAGTTTCATATTTACTTGATTTAAATGAATGTGTGAATATTATTATATTCTAAAAAAAACATTTTGTGTAAATTTCCACAGGGAATATTAGTTGAAAAAACTTTCAGAATTACCCCCAAAAATTCAAACTCTAGCGGTGGTGGTCTGAGCATGAAGTCGTCATCCTCCATAAAGATCTGATTTGTCTCATCCACTTTGGCGATCACCGTGGTCTTGAAATTAGCATGGTCCACAAGCTCATCCAAGTAGTCATCTGGGGTTACGCTCATAGTAACCTTCTTGCCTAAAGAACACAGAGATGATAGATAAATGTAAAATGGCATAAAGGCACTGAGTGAATGACTGATGAAAAACAACAACTTAAAATGAAATGAATTTTGTCTGGATTTTTAATACAGTAACTATTTCTAAATTGTCCAAAGTCAATTAACTATCTCTTATTACTTCAAGCACGATGGGAATATGTGAGAGACTGAGAGGGAGGTAAAATGCATGAGTCTCACACTTGATGCACAAGAGTTGACAGGTATGTGCATGTCAAATTCTTTAATAAAATATCAAATATTCTAACAAGAAAACACAAAAACAGCAAGAAAACAACCACCATGCACTATAATTTTCTTTGATTTAATAAAAATCATGTCTACCTTTCTCTCCAGCTGCCAGTGTGATTTCAAACTTGTCACCCTTCACAAAACTTTTTATGACTCCGGTATAGTAGACCACTGCGGCTTTCAAGGTAATCTCTACTTTGCGCTCTTCCTTTGCCTTATTGGTCATTACCAGAGCCACATCAAAGGAACTCCCAACAGTGATGAAATCTTTATCCTCCCACTCAAATTTAACATCATCCTATAAAAGTACCACATTGGGTATCGATAAGTGTAAAATTTTGAGAGAAGGGGGAATGGTATGATATTAGATGGTTTCTTAACATTTTACCTAAAAATTCACCCAAACTTCATGTTAAAGGATTAAGGGGGTACAAGTAAGTCAAGGTATCATCACATAGATATTGAGCCTAGTAAAAGAAACTGAGGGTACAAAGAACAGGGGTTTTAAGTTCGGGGGAGGTGTTGAAAATACCTCCGTTTTTCCCTCACAAAAGGCCCACCCCTAATCAAAATTTGAAATAGGTTTTCTGTTATTTCTAAAGTTTATGGGTCAAGCGACTAAGGGGATAAAAAAGTTGCC